TCATTTGAATCAGCATAAAGCCGGAAAACAGTAAAAAATCAGAAGTAATCGAGAACATTCTGATAGGTTTGTATTGCTAAGCAATGGATTTCGCCCTACGATTTATGATTCGATTTTATTGGGTAATAACGAAGCCGATATAATTGAGATTTTTGCGGTTATGGATTATAGCACTTGCTTGAAATTATGTGAGTTTCACGTTGTAAAAAGTCACGCTATGGATTACTCTATATCTTAGGGTCAGTTTACTGAAAAAACGCACGTTTTTATATCTGTAACTCGTAAACTGTGTCTCAGACACTAGCTCCGCTATATCTCACAGTAAAGTCGATCAATATATCTTAATTTCACAAAACAAAGATGAATTAGCTTAGTTTCTTGCAGATCTTATGAGCATCCTTTTCTCAATATGAATTATATCTGGTTTATTCTTATGTGATCACGGCATTGGTTCCCACCTTCTCGTGACTCCATCACTCGAAGCCAGATAATTACAGTTAATTATATATCTTTATCTAGATGGTCATATATTTTTTCGAACCTATGGGAAAAAGAGATTTCGTTCTAATTAATTAATTCGTAGCTTCATTATAAAGTCAAACGCAAAACAACATTCATGTTGGGCAAATATTACAGTTAATGAACCAACTATCAGTCTGCGGAGCAGGACTCCATGTCTAATGAATTGGGAATCAAAATTTAGCTAGCCCGTGATCAGCATTTCTGGATCAGTGATTCGTTTATGAAATTTGTGGAAATGTATTCGGTTGCACAATGCATATATCACATTACCTACTTTTCGGCAGAAATTTTTCCAGTGATCATCCCAAGGAAACGGTGTGATAATATATGTATTACTGATCAGCGATTGCTGTTTCATATGCTCATCGTATACATCACTCACAAAATATGACGAATAAACATAACTTATCCAATAACCCAGACCCTATGGGATACTCTTCGAACATCTACACTAAAAATGAATCCAGTTTTAACTATCAATATAAAACTAAATCTAATAGGTTCAATAATCTCTAAATACGATATAAATCGCCAATTATGTCAGGTCTTATTATTACAACTATTATCGATAAAAAAGCTAAATTAATTAAGCTCATTAATAATTGTCCTGGATATGATATGAAATATGTAAAGTCGTATATCTACAATTATTGTGGAATTAGTGATTATCAACGATACTTTGATGATC